ACTAAAAATTTCAGTAGCGTTGAAGCAACAACCCGCTTTTAACTGCTTCGCTGCCGCTGAAACAACGATTAGTGAAGAAAGCACATATTTTAATATTTTCAATTCAAAAGTAAACAAAAAATCTTTATAAATGGTAAATATTCACTTGTGTCGGTATCAACTATTGCGTGACTAGCTTATGATATAAATGAGGGAGGGGAAAACACAATGCAAAACATGAGCTCCTGTCAAAAAGTAACACCCAGGCGTAATATAGAAATCGAAACGGCTACTAAAATCATAAATAAACAAGGTAAGAGTGGTATGTTAGACTTTTGTACAAATTGTAGTGATTTATGCCAATTAACGGTGGCGACAAGTAGGCGCACCATGTACATTTCACGGTCGCTATCAAGTAAATTTTGCCGGACTTTGAGTTCGTCTCAAGATAGCAGGGTCGTAACGAGGTATATTTTTTCGTCGCTGATCCCGTATTTTAACGCAAATTTTTAATCCCTGATCCCAAAAGTGATGAAAATTTTGATCCCTGATCCCACAAAATTTTGTTGATCCCAGTGTATTTTCTATCCATAACTTTGTCTGGTAATCGTTTTTTACCAATTCGCCAATGCGACATTAGACTAAAATAAAAATGAGCTACTTCACGTTTCTTTCACTATATTATGATGGTCCAAAGTATTAGAGTCCTACCTGAATTATCTCGGTTCCCACTTCTTTTGTTCGTTTTTATCATTGTAGAATATTACCTTTGGCAATCATCGTTGAAGGATCCGTCACTTCGTTGACACGTGTTAACAATCTTGATTTTTCTCAAATTTAACTATCAGGTGAATTTCACTTAATTCAAAACACACTAACTAGTGCAATACTATACAAATTCTAAACGTTTTATACGGGAAACATGAGGAAACAAATTTTTCCTAAAAATCTGATAACTTTCGAATCTATCCGCTTGAAAAAGCAGACTGCTTGAAATTGACGCTGATATTAGCCTCATAAACTTTAATAAACTTTCTGTAACCAAAATTAGAATAAAACGTATTTATCGCAGCGACCTTCCTCGACATTCGTTTGAAAAAGAAAAACCGTTTGGTGATGCTATAAACTTTAAAATTTCATGAGCATGCGACCTAGTCAGTTTATGATACAAGTTTTTGTTATCATCTATTTGCAGTATCCCTTGATTCTTCACGCAAAACATCCTTCTCCTCCTGTTAATCCGTTTTCTAGACATCTGAAAAAAATCTATTGAAAAATATCTATCGAGAAAATGTACAACGTGTGTGAAAATTTGACTCCGGAAAGGCCCTGGAATTGTTCTGAGCTTGTTAAAGCACAAATCGTGTGACCCTCCTGCCAGATCTACTGCGTCCAGCTTCGAAACGAGTCGGTTGGTCATCATCGTCTTCACTTTTGTCGCCATCACTGTCGTCCTCACTACTGCTATCATAATCAGCCTCGTCAGAGCCGTTAGCCAAGTTTTTTTAGGTGTTGCTCCTCGTTTCGGCATAGAATGAATTTCTCACCATCCTGAACCACCGTTACAATATCTAAAATACACTGAGGTGGGTTGTTGTTGTCTTCATTGCCTACAGTGTATAATAGTGCATCTTCCTCTGACGGCCCAAGCCAGTTAATACGCATAATACGCTCAAGGATGCCACCATTACTGCAATGAAGGTCCTCCTGAAGAATAGCAAGGAAAAAAGGCTCCAAATAACGTTTCCAGTTGTGTTTTAGGGCGACTACATCTCCCTTTGAAAAACGAACTGGACGAGTTTCAATCTGTGCTGTTTCAGGTTGTCCTGCGTCTAAGGCTTGAAGCTCTTCAAGCATGTCAACAACATTTTGAGTTTGGTTTGTTTGAACTCTTCGGATCATGCTTAGAGATAGAGGGAGAGTTACAGCCTTTTCTTTCGTTTTGTCTCTTACTCTTTGCTGCCGTACGCCTTGCCCAAATTCTTTAGCAAACAGCCTAAGTTCCCTTGATTCTTCACGCAAAACATCCTTCTCCTTAACACTATCTTCTTGCCTAAAATGTTCTTCGCTAAGCTTTGCACGATCATAAAGCCACTCAGGCTCCCTCTTGTTTATTGTTCGTTCGGTGTAGTGGCTTTGGGGTCCCGTATACACTGAAAAGGAAGAGTGATACACCTTCTGTACGGATTCAACAATACAGCTTGGTCTGCGGCTGCCGTTATCGTGCATGTCTGGCGTTGGACGACTTGGGGTTCTCATTCCCGCAAAGAAATGTTCCATGTGTAGTGTCGTGAAACTTGGAAAGCATATATCCTTTGCAATATGCTGCAAATCGTTTTCAGAGAAGAACGAATTCGTTTTCTCAAATGACGAATGAAGCATTTTAAAAGCGTCCCTCGTAGGTTTTGACAATGCTAGATCAGGACCCTGGTGACATCTTCGACCTGTTCGAAAATACGCCTGCCTCTCTTCGTCTTTCATGAAATCCGCCGCTTCTTTGAGAATAATCAACCCGTCTTCCAAACCTGGTTGGAAACTTGGCTTCCTTGATAGTTCTTCTTCAAGTTGGAAGAGTTCAATAAATAGCCCCAATTTCTCTCCGAGATGTTTATAGCTTTTTAAGCTTGAAATTAGTCTGACAGCTTGATTGCTGGTGTCACAGACAAATATAGATTCTCCATATGACACAAGCGCTGATGGCGAGTGAAACCTAATTGTAAAGCCGTCTTGCATCCCCGGCTGGCTTCCTCCCAGTGAGTGAATTATCTTGCCATCAATACAAAAGTTCACTGGATGGTCATGAGAATCAGAGAAGACGAGCTTTTGTGCTGTTTTAGTAATGCCAAGGATAACTGACGGGTCCTTTTTGACAACACTGGTTAGTTCGACAGAGGCCTCTTCACGAGAAAGACATTCAATTCCTTGGTTGTGCATCGAGATCAGGAGCCCTTCCGGAGCGTCATAAATGCAAAGCGGTTGACCCTGGTTTACCACAAAATAAATCTCCAGTTAGGCTTTGTAACGCCTCTGCTGAATGTCAAAGTCAAACTGCGATATTTTGAAAATGGTCTTCTTGTCAAAGGTGTGGTGTTGCTGATTGTTTATATCGGGAGAAAACGTGACTAACCTTTTAAAATCTCTATTGTTTTACAAACCCGGCGCACGTTTTTAGAGGGATGTCGGCCCGCAAATTGACTTGCAGATAAAGACCGCAAAATTTATAGATCTTTTTATAAATTTCTCATCATCAATCCCGTTTCCCGCCGGAAATAATAAAAAATTCCCGCGTCCCGTCAGAAAAAAAAGGAACTTCCCGCTTCCACGCTATCCCGCATCCCGCCTTAAAATTTCCTTTCATCCCGCATCCCGGCAGCTAAAAACGCCTCATCCCGTATCCCGCCAAACCTATGTTAGACCCTCTAGATGGGGATCTGAATTTTGGCCGCGGGGTGTCCGCAAGGCAAGAGTTACTATAATAACATTTACCAGTAAACCTAAAACTGATGACATTAATTTTATAAAAAAAATCCTTCAAATTAATCCATCTATTATTTTCCTTGATCAAAAGAAAACTTTTCTTTCATCTAAATTGCCTTTAGAATAAATACTACTCGGGTCCACGCTAAATCCCACAACAAGACGAAATCTCATAGTCCATTTGTGCTATCAGTTTTCAATGTGTTATCAGTTGTTACATCATTGTTTTTGTGTCTGGTCTTTTCGCCGTTTTAGAAGCAATTCTATGTATACTCTAGTCCTTATAATTGGTAACAACACACAAACACTCATTATTCTAAGTTACCTCCTTGTTGAACGTCGCCTTGAGCTTCGCTCATGCCGTTGATCGCCTTTTCTGCTGAGCGACCAGGAACGTGACCTAGAATGTCGAGTTTATGAAATTAAATTTTGCCAAAAGATTGCAGATTTGAACCAGAAAGAAAACCGTAAATCAACGTTTACTCCAATTTACCTTCTACGTGTGTGATTATCTTTTCTCTTCTTTCGCTTCCCCATGGAAAAAAACTTTCTGAAATGTTGACTTTTTAAAAAACGATCCAGTAATCTCCAAGTATACTCAGTACCCGTGCTCAGTCGAAAGCAATCCAACGTGCTCAAATGACCTATTCCTGGCATATTGTATGACATGATTGAACGTCATGCAGCACGAGTAAGACAATAAAATCCTGGCAAGTTATTAACAGATTAACGACCCAATGCCTAACCAGTCAAGTTTGAGTCAACTAGTACTCTTTGATTCTGGTCTCCGGTGAACTATCAATCAATAAGTCCAAATACCAAGGAATACTGTATAAAATGGGTCATAAAATTTCAAAAAGCTTTAAAAATCCATGTTTAGGCGCGCATCGTAAGTTATTGTTGTTATCTAGACGCCTGATCCTTGAGCCCATGGAAAACACGCTGATCCCGATCCCGAGGGCTTTGATCCCGGATCCGAGGCTGTGATCCCTGATCCCACCCTTTTTTAGGCCTTTGATCCCTGATCCCATATACCTCGTTACGACCCTGAGATAGAACAACACAAATATACAAGGAAATTTTCTCAGTGACTTTATAACCATCCTTTCGTCTTTTAAAAGCTTGAAGCTCAGTAGATTGTGTCATATCGGTCATTGTTAAAACTGTCTTTGTTTTGATGCCACTTTTCGACATAGGAAAAGTATGTCGGACAAAAATATTCACCAAAAAATAAATATTTCTTTGCCAGCTTCAATAACGACAGGGGATTAAGTTTAGATGATAAAACAAAGGATTATGTTCACAGAAATACTGTAGGTCGAGTACGTTCGTTACATGAAGTCACACAACTCGGGTAATATTCACGGTGAAAATTTGCATATTTGAGCGGTCGAACGAAAAAAGTAATTTCTCGAAAACTAAAATATGTTTTCGCAAAAAATCTACACCACAATTATTAGAACATATTGGGCTACAAAATATGAAAGTAGGAGGGAAAACGAATTTTGGGCGACTTGCCACAATATTTCAAATTTGTTCGATGGATGCTGACATCGTCTCTTAAGGTCATCTACTACTTCGTTCAGGATGACTCGCAACGAAGAATTCTGCGAACCCTGAAATTAAATGCAAGTTTGGTGTCACAAATATGCAGACGCCTACAAGATGTGTGCTCTCTGGACCTGCAGACGCGTCCAATAATACCATTTGGTGGCCCGGGTGTTGTCGTGAAATGTGATGAAAGTAAATTTAATCACAAAGCAAAGGTAAACGTTATACAAAAATGAACGAGTTTATCTTCTAAACTGTATTACTTTGCATCTGGTCCGGATTTCTTGAAAGGTGGATGGCGCTATCCACTGGATAGATCTTTATCCGGTGGATAGGGTTGACTAGCCTTCGAACAACTAGGGCCTGAATTTTTAAAACATATTCTACTTCTCAATTTTTTTTGAAATCGAAATACAGTTCCTGATTGTATGTTGTTTGAGCGGAAACTTAAAATTGCGAAAATCGAAGAGGGGATACTAAAGGGTATCAGAATCCCAGCTCATTTTTCAGAAGAGAAAAGTTTCGCCCAAATTCTATAACCTTTATCTTTTTTTTCAATGATACTCTCCCATACGAGCCTTCATCTCAAGCCAGTCCAATACCGAGAATAAGAATATGGTCTATCAAATTAAACTCCTGAGAATACTCTTGGAAGTACGTTTGTGATGTGCGCGCGCACAAAACTGCAATGAGAGCTAAATTACGCACATGTATGACAGATAATAGGGTCGTAGATTTTACAGCTGAAGGCCAAATATTCCAGTTGACATATTTCCGAAAGTGGCCTTATTTTCGTTACAAGTTACATCTTTTTTATGGTCTATACACTTAACCACTGGCGAAGATGAAGTCCCACAACAAATATATTTCACAGTTTACTAATAAGAGTACATAAAAAATGAAAGCTATGGTGCTCTTTTCTGCCTGATTGACCATGCTACTTTTTGCAATGTCGCCCTAATAAGAAAAAAATCTTGAGTCACATTTTTTAATATCTTTTCAGTGCAACAGGGGAAGGAGGGCTGCTCGTGACTCGTGGGTGTTTGGTATAGTCTCTTGTGCGAATAGTCCCGCAAGAGGCTATTTCCAAGTAGTGGACAGAAGGAATGCGGCAACTCTTCTGCCCATCATTCAAAGATGCGTTTTGCCAGGCACAGAGGTGCACAGCGATGATTGGGTCGCATATCGAAGACTCCAACTTTTGCCCAATGTCAACAGGCACCGAGTTGTTGTACACGCGCACAATTTTGTGGATCCACGAACAGGCGTGCACACACAAGAGGTGGAGTCCGCTTGGAGTCAGTTAAAACTGGGGCAGAAAAGAAGAAAGGGGCTGCGCAGAGAAGATCCTCAATCCTTCCTGGACGAGAGAATGTGGCGGCAATGGAGAGGGGGCAGCTATGGAGTGATTATGCGCAATTTCCTTCCCATTTTCCCGCTACAATTTCCAACAGATAATCTGGTACTTTAACCTTAAATCAACTGCATAGCAGAAAAAAAAATAGATAACCCCTTAAAGGTACCAAGGACTTGATTTATTGACTTACCTTAAAATTTTTTCAACCTTAAGAGGAACAAATTTAAATTTTTTTAACTATACTAGTTGCAATGTTTTTTTTTTGCTCTGGTATGTAGGCGCAATACGTTTAACAGTTCAATTTGTTTTATGGACCTACAAATAGTACAATATAACTTGAAATAGGTCAAGACATATGAATAAAGTTATTTTAAAACATAATCTAGATTCGCGTTACTTAAATCAGAATAATAAGGCAAGACCAACATATCAGTAGCAACCCCTCTATTTGCAGACGAAGTAAAAAAGAAAAGAAAAATTAAGGGTGAATACCATTAAAGAAAATGGAAACAGTTAGAAAAACACTGAAAGCCGCTACGTGGAAGGGTTTTTTTTGGGGGGGAGGGGGAGCAGTCAGGAGCTACCCAACAGGTCTCCGCTATATACCGAGGTGGGTTATAAAAAGATTCTTAAACCGAGCAGGGCCATGAACGGTATTCTTAGGTCGGTTATTACCGTATACGTTATCTACAAACCGAGTACCGTTGTAACAACAATAAACCGAGGTCACATAACGGCAACCCCTGCACAGTTTAAAAACCGAGATCGGTTAGTGTATCCCATACTCGGTTAATACCGTGGACGTTACGTGGTAAAATAGTCTCAAAAAATTTTGCGCATATCAAAAACAAAAAAAAAATAAAAAAATCAACAAGATGTTTTTCGAAGGAGTTGTGAACATGTTTTTGTTCCATTGTTTTGGCTAGAAACCAAGGGCTATGGTTAGTTTTATTTAACCACATCGAAATTATTACTTGCTCCAACTTTGAGTCGACAGATAAATAAAATTTGGCAATAGTTTTTGCAAAGAAAGAAAGACAGAAAGAAAGAAACGTTCTTTTAGAAATGCGGGCTCACCGAAGTAAAATTGCTAGCGTGGTAGTCATCAGAATTTGATTTGTTTGAAATGAGCCATACTTACCAGGAGGACCTATTTAGGTTTTGGATTAAATAAAAATTGCACTTTCTCTTTGGTGTGCCGCGTGCTCAACGAAAACCGGAAAAAGGAGAACGCCAAGTAGATTTTGATACTCATCTCTGTCACTGTTACACCCGCTTTCTTTGTGCTTAGCATGATCATGATCAAAGCACCTCAGTGGTTTATTCATATAAACAGTTATTATATTCAAGATATTTACATGCTACAAGAACAACATAATCTCTGTCTTCTATTCTTCTCATTCTTGCCTTGATTTTAGAAAGGACGTCGCTCTCGCTTGCTTTCAGAAAATCGAGGAAGGTAGCGTCAAGACCCTGTATTTCCCTCTCCACCTCAGCGTAATAATCAAGAAGAGCTAATGACTTTTTCTTGTCCATTGTTTGTGCCTCTGAAATCACCTTAAAGGCCTGAAACATGCGGAAATATTAAATGGGTTGAAGAGGCAAATGAGTACACTTAGACTAATTGTTACATTTAGGTCAGAAGAGTAAAAAGCTATCATGACCGCTGGGCAATTTACATTCAATTCAAGTAAGTTGGTTTTTGGCTTGTTAAAAACGCATCGCCAAGTTTAAGTTTGCAGGATATTAGTTACATTCTTTATTCCAATTTACAACTGAAAAACGAAAATATATTGGTGTGCAGCTCGAACTGAGTATTTACTGCCGTCTGTGTGAGTACAGAAATACAAGCTCAAGTAAGTAGCTGTGTAAGACAAGGGCGATCGAAACATAGTTTACAACACTTAGGCAAGGCAAACGAGCACCCGCCTGTTGCGAAAAACTCAAAAAAACCTCACAGGGAAAATAGGAACGTATTTTCCGACCAAACGCTGGTGCACCGACCTTCGGCTAAAGTTTATGTACAGTTCACCAAATATACTAATTATGCACGCATAATTTAGAGTATAAAAACGTTAACGAGATGCTTGAACATCCATTAAGCAAGAAATCACCTGTTTTAATCAAAATTAGTTTGTTTTTTTGCTTTTTTTTTTTAATTGAAAGTGAAATTTCGGAGCAGGCGAGTCGGCAAATAGCAAGAGAAGAACCAAACAGAGGTTTGTCAACATGCCAGGGGCCGTGATTGATGTTATTAGAACGTGAGCAGAGACGAAAATCCTCAAAGAGAAAACGAAATGGACAGTTCGAGTTTCTAAGGTTTTCACACTCAGTTAGATTGCAAGCTAAAAATGACTCGTGTAGTTTATATAGTTTTGTGTTCAAAAACAAAACAGAACAAAACAGGAATGATGAAAAAAAAGAACCAAAGTGGCATAACTGTTAGAATTCCTACTAGTCAAAACGGTGTCAGAGCGACTGCGATCATGCTTAGGTCCAACGCGACTAACTCATCAGGGCGATCTCCGGCCGTCCTTCGAGTGAAAGGCCACATCAGTCATTGCAGCCGAGTTTTACGGCTCTGTCATCCCGAGCAATCGTCATGAAAAAGACTCAAAGATTCAAAGACTCATCTTGAGCTTTTTCTTTTCTAATTGTCATGTGAAAAAACGTGCGTGCTCTTATGAGCCACAATTCGGCCGGATTTCACTGAACATTTCACCCCCACATTCTGTATGAGAGACTAAAAAACTTCAGGCAAAAGTGTTAGATTCGACCTGCCAAATTATTTAAGTTTGAAATCAATTGCGAAAGGTGAACATTGATGGTTTTTGAACGTTGATGGTTTGACATTTTTGACAGTTTTAGCCTTGTACAGCCAATCAGATTATTTGAAATATTATAACAAGGATTCTGATTGGCTTATTATAGCGTGTTTTGTGAGAGTATAGATAATGTTGAGACACTGTTGTTCGCTTTGGAATTAAAACTTGTTTTGAAAATTGAAAGTAATGCGTGGGGAATTTAACGGATTCTTTGTTATTAAACAAATAGAGAAGCCTTGACTGTGCTCTGTTCTGTTGTAAAGCACGCACGAAGCGGTTAGAGGACGAAAGAACTGTAGGGAGAAACACCCGACTACGTCTCGTGTTTCTCCCCACACTTCTTTCGTCCTCTAACCGCTTCTTACGTGCTTTACAACAGAACAGAGCACAGTTAAGGCTTCTCTATTTGTTAATTGAAAGTTCGAGAGCTGAGATGCATAAACTACTATTGTCAGACCTTACATACACTGTAACAAAAGAGTTTGTTCGTGCAAGGAGGAAATTATTTTCATTTTCTGTCACTGCTGCTTAAAGCTTCATTCCGCCAAATGTCAATATATTTTATTAAAGTCACCAATTTTATTTTTCTGGATGTATCGATAAAATCGTTTTCAGGCGTAAAGGATAAAGAAATAAAGAAAAATGTCAAATAGGGTTCATTGTTTGCCTAATTCTCAACTAACCTTGCAAGAAAAAATGGCAGACACCATGAGTAGGATGAATTACAAATGAATTTTAATTACTGCATTTTGTGTTCGAGGCCTGACTATCTGCCTACTGTTGTGAATTCACTGATCGGAACAAAATATAAAGCGGAGCCCAACTAATTTCAACTTCATTTGGCGAGCTGTCAGCCAAATGACTATGAGGTCTTCTGCCACATGATGCTCTCATGATATTACCACCGTTAATTATATTTTTCGTATGGTGAGCTTGATAGCTTTCGTGTAACGGTTACTGCTTTCGACCGATAACTGACAGATAAAGAGCACAAACGCTCGATTACTCTTGACAGTGAGTTTAAAAGCTTCAAGCTAGTTCCTAAAGGCAGAAGCCCGACTGCTTTGGCAGCAAGGTAATGCCAGCCATGGAAAGCAGTCGCACCATCGAGCCATGAAACGGAAAAAAGAAAACAATGAGAATTATGGTCTTTAGGTGCTTCTGAGGAAAAGTTTCGAAGCCATTTTGGGACAATAACTTGATAAAGTTCAGAATTAACATCTATTGTACAAATTTACAGGTGAGCGACCGTAGCCGTTCTCCTGTATGATGTTGGGTCGATTGATACACTGATCGGTAACCGAACAGACATGAAATTATAGAAACTGAATTTAAGGATCAAGTTGCGTTTCTATGTTTCTTTGAAATCATTGCAGTAGCTTTAATCACGTAAGAAAAGTAAACATCTGTTATTGCAAGACGTCCTTGAAAGTAAATAGACGTCGTGTATGAGGGCCTTATAGATTCTGAGCCATTCGTTTTACGATGCCACGTTTATGAGCTACAGCGATGTAGCTAATCCTTTAGTTGGAATGCTCAAATTCTGCATTAAATCGATAACCTCGGCGATGTTATCTGCCTCCCTCAATTTTGGTCTGATAGCTTCCAAAAGAAACTGTGGAAAATTGAATACACGGCGCCCAGTAGAGAGTGAATTTTCAATTTTTGGAATAGTTTTGCAACGCCCACTTTCACAGAATTATCATGTGTTGACTTACGGTAAACAAGGTTTCACGTCATGTTTACCTTTAATGCAAAGCGACCTTTGAAGCAGCGAAGTCGCTCTAGAGTGATAACACAGATATTTTGGGCGAAAATACCAGCGTTATCAACCGCTTTGCTCTTCAACGTTACCAATCCCCAGCTGATTTTAAGTATAATAAAAATCTAATCTTGTTGTAGCATCAGTCTATAAAAGAACTTTATCTTGACAAAAACATATTCTCTTTCTCTATTTACAGAAATCAAGCATTCCAAAGCTATTTAGCGTGAGTCAAACGTAAATACTTTATTGAAAACCGCATACGATCAAAAGTTGTTAAAATTCCCTTATAAATATGGACGGAAAAGCGTAGAAATGTAACCTTGATTTTAACGATGATTTTAGTTTCTTGGAAATCGTTTTTGATTGCTATTAGTGTCGCAGACTTTTTCATGTCATTTGCTGGCAACTCGTGGTGATGACAGACATCCCTTTCAACAGTGACATCCAAATAGTCTTTACACGTCAATGATCTGATTTTCGCTCTTGCATTAAAGACTGAAGTGTAGTCACATCGTGCCAATCAA